CCGTCCCCCGCCACCACCACCACTTCCAAAACAAAATTTACCCAACTGCGACAATGCGTCAATGGGAGGCTTGTGTGTCGACGGGTGGGGGACGATGTCCCGACCGACCGGCACAGGATAATTTGCCAAAATTCTGTCAAGCACTTTATGACAGCTGTCGTGTAAGCGCTGGAGAAATCACTATGTATTGTATAAAAATACCGCATGCTATTTTTTTCTGAATATGCTCAAAATATCTTTGTGGTGTTGAGCTGCGCGGGGGTGCTGAGTTGTTCAGGGGTGGTAGCGTGAAGTCGTAGAATGACAAACCTTCGACTGAAGTGACTCTCAACTTTACAAGTACAGTCCCACCGAAAAAATACAACTCCCTGGGTACCTTTATCAGGAGCTGTCTCACCATGTTGGTCTTTGTTGTTGTGTTTATGATCCTCTGGACGAGTTGGAACTGGGAAAGTCAATTTCCTTTTGCATACCTGTCAACCTCGGCGAATAGCTGCCCTTATAAATGATTACATTCCCCTTACAAAGCAACAAAAACCCTTACAACGGCTTACCGCGCATGCGCACATCATGCTTTATCAATGGTGAGACGATCTGGATTTGAGCCAAAATGGTGTTTGTGAGATCGGTTTACATTTTGGGGTTTTTTTCCGTATAAAAGTTGTAATACGCCGTACATGATTTGAAATGATAAAAAAAAACGTATAAAATATGGGGAAAACGTACAAGTTGACAGGTATGTGTCTGTCTGTGGCTGCGCAGACGCGACGAAGCATGTGCTCAGCTTGCACTCCGTGCAGTAGCGACCAAGCCCCTGACCCCGCCCCTTTCTCTTCTGGTCTACCTCTGAGCACGGCAGCTGAACCACTGCGAAACCACGCTTCAGACACGTGAAAAACAGAGAGCGAGAAGGAGAGATAGCGAGAGATAGCGAGAGAGCGAGAGCGAGAGCGACAGCGAGGAGAATGACAGAGCCGGCTCTCGAGTGAGGGTGCCGGCTCTCATCGTTCACTTCAAAGAGCCGGCTCTTTGTACCGGCTCGTTCGTGACCGACACATCACTACACCGGTGGTTTATGACGTGAGACGAGAAGAAAATGAAGCGCTGGGGGAGATGCTGTATTGATATTTCTGCCAATGCAAAAGAAATAGTCACAAAATGATTGGGTTTCGTATAAAAGCCTCTGAAGGAAGGTTCAGACCTCCAGGCCGTATTTTAGAAGCCAGGCATTATTCCTCTCAGCATGAAACGCATGCAAGTAAAGGAGAGCGACAAAGACAGAGAGCGCACAATACTACTAGCACAGATAGACAAAAAAAAAAAAAAAGAGTTTTAGCAAACAGGGAAGAAACAAACAAAATACAAAACTAAATGTGAAAACCGAATACACCCCAATGGAATACAGAGCACATGGAGTTCACTTTCGATGCGCACTAAGCAAAAGCATCACGATTGTTGCCCGATAATGCTTGGAATTTGAACTCCATAAATCTCACAATTTAGAGGGGTTTGACTTTGGCGTTTCGACCACACTGATAAATTAGTGACTTGCAACTCAACTGTGACGTCACTAGCTTCGTACGAGCTCGTAGAGATGACTTACGCTGCAGTCATCGTGTACCAAAAATAAAATTGGGGTTAAAAAGTAGTGTGAAATCACTTTCCATTTGTGTGCCGGGCCCGCAAAGCTGTCCATCAGTGGACTGTGGGAGAGTACTTCAGAGATAAATGCAATTATTTCATTCAAATTCTTGTCCGCGGTAGATAGTCTTGTCTATTCAGGGCCGTACGTGCTGCTTAAAGTGCTCTTATTGTCTTATTTTTAGTGAACTGTCATTTGCATCTGTTGCATTTGCATATCTATGGCCCACACGGATTCATTTATGCATGCGCGATGACAACATTTTTACAAGTAACCATATTTAACCACCCCAAGTGGATATTCATCACAATAATAAAAAAAATATTGTTAAAATCTTACAACGACACTTCTACTATTAAAAAAAAAAGTTTTTGTCAGGGCAAAAATACGAATGATTTTAAAATGAAAAACAGCTGAAATGTGCATAAATTTGAGAAGCTGGTTTTACAGGAACACATTTCTCATCAGTGCTCTGCCAGGGGAATCTTTCTAGGATGATTTAGCTTTGCAAAAGCAAGAAACCATAACTCATGAGATGAGATTGAGAGGGGTCTGTGTGATTGAAACATGCCACTTTTCTGCCAGGGTCAATTGGTATCTGCTCCTCAGGGCTATTTTAATAATGTTGGAGGAGGAACCCTCATGATTTTGGGGCAAAATCAGCCCAAAATGCAAAGCAAGAGGAGAGACACAGTTTTCATTCGAAACGTTGATTAACTATTGATTTGGAGGGACATTCTGATCTAAAAATATGTGCAATTAATCTCGGAGGGCGAGCAAATTTTCAACATTTTACTTAAGACGGATAATATAGAAATGCCAAATATGTTTCTGTCAGTGTTCTGCCAGGAGATTTTTTTTTCACTGAATCATTTTTGCTATAAGGTTCAAATGATGAAATGTATCTGTCAGAAAAACGACTCAAGTGATTTTGAAGGACTTAAAAGCAAAATTTACAATTAAAATGGGCCCACTTTTTTATCATATTTGTTGTTTGATCTGACAACGGTACATGCGTAAAAATGATCTGTGAAGAAAAAAAAAAAAAACAACATCTCTCTGTCCCCATCTCGCCCAAGAAAAAACAATGATGACTAAATGAACTGTCATTTCTGGCACACATTATAAAATTGCAATATATTGAATGAATATCAAGTATTGTTACACATAAAGCCAATTGTGGCCATGACGACTGTCCGGTCTGTCCACAACAGACACTTGAACACCAAAGACAAACTGATAAATAATAGCCAGAGTGATTACAAAACAAAGTAAGCACTTGATGATGGAGGCATACTCCATCATTGTTGACGTGCTAATATCTTAATGGTGGGGGTTGACTCCGGAGAGACAGACGCAGCGCCGTTGGCGCACATCCGAGACAAGGATAGATACAAAAAAAGGAGACGCTGGATCAACGGAGGTATGTTTGGCAGATTTATGATACACTTTTTCATTGCCGTCTCCTGAAAAAAACGAGGGGACAAAGTATTGATTATTTTTGCACCAGTTTGTCGGGTTCTAAGCGTGGTCTATTTCTACCACTTCCCTGTGAAACAACATCTAGCTTTGGTTTTGCTCTGAAAAGAAGTGGGGCGAGGGAAGCTACATGGGTGCAAATCCATGAAATATGTAGCAAGTCAAATCTTGAAACTCGGGACCAGCGAGATTGGGGTTAAGTGGAGAGGAAGCGGTGGGGAGGCTGCGAACGAATATTGTACTCCGTCAAGCATTATGGCTCGACCCACATTCTCACATCACAACACTCTCACGAGTTTCATTCTTCCATTTTGTTGGTCGCTCAAACTTGATTGACTGCACGTCAACAAACCAATGGCTCGTCTCAAGAAAATTTGGTTCAAATTTCGTTTCGGGCCCTATGTGTGGATTTTGCATGTCCTCCCTGAGCTTTCCTCCACCACTTGCCCTGGAATGGCCAGGCGACCATTCCAGGGTAGACCCGTTTCTCTTGCCAAATTCTGCTGGGATAGGCTTCTGCTCACCCGCAACCCTTCAACAGAATGGTGACCAGTCCGCGGTGGACCTTGCTTTGCTTGTCAAAAGTCAGCTGTAATTGGAGGCTGCAATTCATCTGTAATTTTGAATAAAAGGTGACCAGTGCAGCACGCTTTACTTGCCCAAACTTTCCTCCAGCTCACCTGGAACCCTGGACTGACCCCGCGTCTCTTGACATAACCTTATTGGCCAATAAGAAAACCAGACAGACAAGAATTCTTGGAAGCCTGATTAGAAATATTTCATTTCAAGGTGGAGGGTCATGAGGCTGATGTGTGTGACAAAAAAAAAAAAAAAATGCTTGATGAAAATTTCCCTTATATTATCATGGAAGAAGACAATTTTTCAGTGGAGGAGCTGCGAATAGTCTTCCTTCTCTTAAGATAAGATATCCTTTATTTGTCCCACAATGGGGAAATTTACATTTTCCTCCTCCTCAGTTAAAGTTAATGAGCAATACTAGTTCAAATGGGTTTAAGGGTTCTTTTATTTCAGACAATGGCCTTTATTTTCAGCTGTCACTTCAACCTTCGCCGGAGCTGAAACTGTCAGCTAGGTAAGAGATTTGCTACTCCCCCCGCCACCCCCCCCAGAACATTATCTGAAAAAAAGAAACCTTAATCCCATTTTAACTAGTAAGAAGACGGAGGTCATAACGTGAGCAATGATAGTTATCTTTTATTTAGAATAGTGTGCTTTCATGTATTTCTATATTGCAAATATTTATTTTTAACCACACACTGAAGAAAGGTAAGTATAATTTACCTTTGGCTGGAACGGATTAATTGCATTTCCATTAATTTCACTGGGAAATATAATCTCGATTCATAAACCTTTCAGATTAAAAATGGGCTCATTGTGGAAATAAATGAATAACTGGAGGTTCCATTGTACTAATTTCCTGTTAGCCAGGGTTAGGATGTTACATAACCCAAAAATATGCAAATGTGAGAATTTGTCAGCCAATGGTATACAGGTAGGTTCCACCAAAAATACAAAATGAAAATAATAAATACAAATGAAAAAGGAAAAAAAATAATCCTCGGCTAATAGCTTTATTCAATTTTCTGCTCAACTTCAACTGGTGGTGTGCGGTGGGGGCTCTTCGATGCACCCCCTGCCTCACACTGTGCCTCCATCCTCCTCCTCTTAGCCCCGCCCCCCAGAAAACGAACCACACACACACACACACACACATTGACTTTTCTAATTCACACGCACACACACGCGCTGCATAGCTAAGCAGCTCGGCGAATCTCCGCTGTAACGGGACAAGTTACTTGAACCCACCGGGATAACCACCGAGCTCTCGCCGCTGCTCTCGCCGTATTGGAGCGCCTGTCCCCGGTCAGAGGTGAGTAGCGACGAGCCGGACGTGGTACCGAAGTCGCCGAGAAGGGATTTCCTTTTCGAGGAGGGAAAAAAAAGACATGTCTCAGTACTCGGGACTCTTTTCTTCTCCCAATTCGTCTTCTTTTCGGAGCAGTTTTAGCTAGTTAGCTCACTTTTACCGGCTTCCAGCGGGGCAACGAACGTTTGGATGGACGTGGCCGGCGTCTCGGCTGCAATAAATCGGGGGTCTGTTTGCAGATTTAGGGGAAGGCTTCGACATCCTTCCCCCGTGGAGATGTTGCTATTACACCGCTGTTACGGTACACATGGTGCTTCAGACTTTGGCCGCTCCTGGGACACCAACGACTAATACTGCATTTTAGCACTTTTTAACTTTTTAAAAATGTACCTCAATTTATTTACTTTTTGGGGGGCGGGGGCGGGGTGGCTTGTTAATTTCTCAAATTTTAGTCTTCATAATTTACTCTAGCTTCCTCCCATGTACATTCTGCAAACATGCATGTTAGGCTCAGTGAAGACTCTGAATTGTCCATAAGTGGAAACTGAGTGTGGATGGAGTCTCTGAAGCCAGCTGTTATTGGAGACAAAATTTTACAAACTGTAAGATGTGAATGAGAGTGTGAATGCTTGTGTGTATGTGCCCTGCGACTAACCGGTGGGCAGTCCAGGGTGCACCCCGCTTCTCTCGCTAAGTCAGGTGGCATTGAGGACTCTGAAGTTGTCCATAGGTGCGAATAGTTCTTTGGTTGTACGCCGCTTTGCTTGCCAAACGTTCACTGGGATAGGCTCCAGCTCATCTTTGACCTGAATGAGGTGCTATAGAACGCAGGTGCATGTCATCTTAAACGTTTCAAGTGAATATCTGTGCATCTTCTTTTATTTAATGTAAATTTTAGGTAATTTGTTTCCTTTAGGCTTTTGCCCGATGCATCAGCTAAGTGCTTTGACTTATGGTCCTGTATAATCACATTGAGGCAGTTTGATTGGCAGTCTTTGGAAGTTTAACCTACAGAAATTAACATCTGACATAAAAAATATCAAAACATATTTTTAATACTGAAATTAGGAATGCTTTGGTCTTCTGAAAAAAATATTTCTATGTTAATCCGTAAAACAAATTAGATTCACTTTTTGAAATGAACTACTGAAATAATTCAACTTTTTCTTTTTGCATTGTTCTAATTTATTCAGATACAATTGTAACATGGTTGTTACACTTACATGCCACGTCATGTCTACTCGTTACACTACAAATGTTCATTGTGATACATTATAGCATTTATGGGTTCAATCTTAGCAGGGGTTTTCCTATAACGGTTCTGCTGAGGTTTTACTTGTTTTTAGAATGGCATGGTGGGCAGGATCAAATGCTTTTGTAGGTCTTATATGGCCCACAAACCAAAAGTTAGCCACCCATTTTCAAAATGATTAGCTCATACTTGACTCATTGATCAGTGTGACTGTATGGACTTGTGAAAATTAAAATGGTTATTGATTAACTACATGCTGGTCATATTAATAAAAAAACAATAACAGCTCTCGCCCACCGTATCACAACTGTTCCATTTTGAGGTAGCCTCGCTCGCCTGTGTTGGTCTCGCCTTCATGTACTGTTGAACACATGCACAGAATACACAACACGCGCTAATGGAAACATCATTGGCTGTGTTTGTCTCACTTGTGATGGTGGGTGCCGCTGAGGCAACAGCAGTCTTTAAATGTTTGATGTGCCGAGCGGTCCTGAGCTCTTTCCGCCTCTGTTCCTTGCCAGCTGCTGGTTACAGAGACGCTCTTGTCAACATGTATGCGTTTGTGTGCCTGTATCAGCTGCATACAGACCTGCTTTCCAGCACTCCGGTTTTACCTTGGTGGATCTGAATCATCATGAAGCTAACCATTAGTGTTTTCCACAGTGGCTTAGAAGCACAACTGGACATAGAGAAACTTTTTAGGCCGATGGTTAACATACAAACTGGGCCAGAGGTGCACAGTGCAGTGTTTTTTTTTAAGATTGGTCCTCACCAGAGTATTAAACCAAAGCTAGGTATACACACACACACACACACACACACACACACACACACACACACACACACACACAACCATTTTTTACATCTAAAACTATTTTTTAAATGCGAGAGACCCAGCAAATGGTGAGCAAATAAATCATGTTGAGGTGACTAACAGCACACTGCGCACAAACCAGTTGTCTGTTGTAGTACCAAGACTGACCTACGAGAGGCAGCATGGTGCCACAGGGCAAGAAGGAAGCCTAGTCGTAGTCGAAGAAGAAACAGAATTAACCGTTCAGAGATGAGTGTCCAGAGATGATGGCTATTTCTTTTCGCGAGCTGGATCGAAGTTTTGCCTTTTTTCCAAAAAGACAGAAAAGAAGTTCAATTCTCAATTCTGGCTATCGTTGTCATCAGTAATCATGAGCAACACTTTGCTGACCGGCAACATCATATTACAGTCGAACCTCTTTTCAACGTACCCCGTTTACATTTTCACCCCTATAACGTTCATATTTCAACATCCCGATTTCACGTTGTTTATTTTCCATTTGCCGAGTTTGCTGAATAACGTAAACTTCATTATTACGACCAGATTACGGCCGTAATAATGAACCGTGGGAAGATAACTGCCGCCGCGACCTTGCTTATGAACAAAATGCACAGCACAAGATTCCCCACCATTGCTTAGCAACGTGACTGATCAACTCGTACATTTTTGTACTTCCGGAGGCACTGCGCGGTCTTGAGCACATTTTCTTAAAACATGTCTGTTAAACAGAAGCAAATCTCGCTGTCAGTGAAGGCTGAAATTGTCTCTCGCTTTCGTAAGGGAGTCTCCCAGACGAAGCTCAGCCGAAACCGCGAATTGCCTAAGTCAACGATTTCGACAATCATGCATAATGGCAACAAAATCATGGCCGAGTTCGAGGTCAACAGATTGAAAGACGATCGTCAACGTCTTTGGGGTGCGGCACATCCTGAACTAGAGGAGGCACTTTTCATTTGCTGACTGAATGTTTTCTTCATATTCTATACACTAGTTTGTAATTGACATCTTTGTACTGTATTAAATGTTCATGTTCATACTGTATTATACATCGGAGTTGGCGGCCATTTTATTGGAAATGGGTTCAACGAACTACCGTTATAACGTACGGATTCGTAATGTCCCTCGAGGTACGTTGTCATGAGGTTCAACTGTATTGGTTTGAGTCCAGGATCAGTCCATGCTGAGCAAGGGCGTTCTCTTTCCTTCCCCCGAAACGCTCAAGAAAATGTTTTTTTTTTTTTTTATAAGAGTTGATACAGGCAGCATTTCATCTCATGTTTGAAAAGGTTAAAGCGCGTGGCTGTGCATCAGCAAAATGAGATTCCTCTGAGCTGTCCTCACCGCTCCGCTGCCTCCAGAAGTACTTTTCCACCCCAACTCATGTTTAATTATTCTGCCGCTCTCTGATCAGACTGTGTCCCATTAAATATTGATCGCCACGCAATCAACAATCAAAGCAAAACATCGGGTTGGACTTTAACCTCCTGTGTTAAATGTGGTCATTCCTCACAGGAAGTCCCATCCTCACTTCTGCAAAGCTGCTCCTTGACCTCCTGCCGATTAAGACGTCTTCACTGAGCTGTGCCCGACACTGGTTCGCTTGCTTACGGTGGAAAAAGCGATTATACTAGATCAGTCTTCTGATCGCCGGGCTGTCTTTTAATCTGCCGTCTTGATAGAGGGACGGGTGAATCTTGGGCACAAGCTATGGAGGCTACACGGAGGTCCTCTGACCCCTCCACCCCATTTCCTGGCTATTTGTGGACGCCATTCCCCAAAGCTCTGCACTTGTTCCGCACGCGTTGATTTAAGCGTGTTGTAGGTCGGACTCCTTCCTTTGGGATCAAGGAATATAACTGATGAGACTTTTGGATTTTGCTGCAAGGTAAAACTAATACATTGGCTTTAAAATAACAGAGTGGGTTAGAATCTGAGGTTATCGGGCTGCATAGGAACTTGGGTGATTGGTGCCCCTCTGCCCCTCCTCTCAACGGATGCAGTGACCACTTGCGGGGTGAATAATACCACCGGCATCGGCTTCAACACCCTATTGATCTATAAGGTGGATGCTAATGTCCCAAAGTTAAGCCCTTTTATTTTATCCGTGCACTCGAGGCAGCCTTCAGTACATTTGTTGTATTTTTCAATTCAATTACAGATGAACTGCATGGAAGGAGCTCAGCCAATCACAGACTGTGAGGCTCGGCTGAACAGGAAGTGATCTCAGGGTTTGTTCAGGAAGGTGTTTCACTCAGGGAGGTGGGGGGGGGGGCATTGTCAAAGGTTTTTTTTTTCCCCTTACATTGTTGTTGAAAGCTCAGCAGACTTTCGTCTCCCTTCACACGGAATTCTCGACTGATGGTCATGGCAACACAGTCATTGAACTTTGAAGACAAAATGTTGCCCAGGTAGTCAAGAGAACCTTGCTATGCCGATTTAACTGCCTTTTTTTTTTCAAAGTTACTGTTCTGTCTTTTGGGATAGTAACAGAGCGGGTACAACACTTGTGTTCAATGAATGTTGGCGGTGTAACGTTTCACACTCAACATTCAGGATGGGAATAAGAATTGATTGATTGTGTGAAATTGATTGTTGATTCATTGAATCTTGAATGCAATAGAGGCAAAATACAGGGTGGGTGAAATGGAACCAAGCATTAGAAAATGCTCAATAGTCATTTTAGCATCACTGAAGTCATTATGAAAGTATTTTTTTAAACGGACAACACTAATTGACATTTCTTAAGGTTTTATGTCTCAGACTCTTCTTCTTCATCTTCTTCTCCTTTCGGCACGTCCCTATTCAGGGGTCGCCACAGCGAGTCAGTAATTTCCATCCGCCCCTGTAAACCGTCCTACCAACTCGCATGGTCGTCTTGGCAAAAGTTTTACGCCGGATGCCATTCCTGACGCAACCCTCCCCATTTCTCCGGGCTTG